TGTTAGAGACAGTTTTTTGGAATGATATCAAAAAAATAATATAAAATTCCCCAATATTCCCCTTAGATAGATTTTTATTTAGCCGTAGTAATTTCGCAACGATCGACATTTAATAAAGATTGACTCCGAAGAGTACAGAGCTCCGACGTTGAGGCAGTACTGATATTTTTAATTTTTATTGAATAATTATTGCTTCATTATTACATAATTAAAAATCCTTCTGCTATTTCATTCGTTTATAAATATAAACTCTAATGATCGCAACACTATGCTATCCCAATAGATTCAAAATTAGAAAATCGCAATGTGTCCAAGAAAAATATGATTGAATAGTACCAATTTGTAATTATAGTTCTTTTTGGTTAGAGTTTAGATCTATTGGTTAAAATTTTATAAATATGAATAGCAAAGAACGAAAGAATAATGGATGTGCAAAAAAAAAAATTTTTTTCGACGATACGATCTAGAATTGATTTTGAGATTTCATCAATATGCTATAAATTCAAACTTTCTTCAGACTTTAGAGTTGATAAATATTCTACATATGGTATTTTCTTATAGCTGCAACAGAATTTCTCGACTCACCATTCTTGTCTGGTAAATAACTTAAGACTTTATTGGTAACCGTCAATTTAGGTGAAGGAAGTGGTGAAAATCAAGATAAACTTGCGTCAATCGAACTTGACGCGTGACCTCTTGCTCCGTGTTACTTTTGATTTTATTCCTTATTAACAGGTTATGAAGAAGACATGTTTGAGGTTAAACTATTTTTTTATAATAAATATCTTTATCTAAACTTCTTATAAATTTTCCACTCAATGAAGTTTAATCAAGTTTTGGATTTGAGAAAAAGTCATTTTAAAGTTTTAAATCTTTAAGTTACACGTTAAAATATGTTTTGAAAGGCATGATTAAAATTGCTTTGTCATCTTCACTCTCCTCATCATACTTAAAACTATCTGCAGTCTACTTACCCTTTACCGAAAAAAAGCCAGAAAACCGTAATAAATCCAGCAAAGAAAAAATCGAAATCAATCGATCTGGCTTATTGTGGCGAATATTCGTTGTTGCATGGGTCCAGCTTCGCCTCTGGCAAATTTACCTGATCATTGCGAGCGATGGAACAGCTGTATCTAGCGGGTTTGTCTAATTCTTGATCAAGTATATATTTCATATCACTTTTTTGCTGGATAGTGTGATGTAAATTTGATAGTGTGATAAACTTCTGGAAGTCTTTGCAGCAGGATCCAACAGATGCTTCTTAGGAACCGGTGTCTTCTGCGCCTTCTATAAAAAATGTCGATCAGTTTGGTGGTGAACAAGCGACTTTTCGTTGTCTTTGAAAGATAATATAAAAGATCTGCCCGAAAATCCTTTTATAAACTTCATTGACGAATTCGATACTTTACTATCTTCCCAAAACTGCGGTGCATTTTTAAAGAAATTTTAGTATTAAGACAAGGAATCGGTACCTGCAACATCCTGGAGCTAAATAAATCCTTTCAATATTCGACACGCCTTCGGCAATTTCACAAAAGTAAACGAACTTTACAGTGAATTTATGATATAATAAAACATTAAATCGAAGAACAATCATCGAGAATATTTACGCACATACAAATGGGTACGTGAAACATATATTAATTTATATTTTCATGGCAAATGATGATTTGTGGTAAGATATGACATCCTCGTAAATCTCTGCGGAAATGGTGTTAAAATAAAAACATGACTTAGTTACCAGGGAGCTTTATAAAGTCAAGTCTTTAGCTTACCTTTTATACGAAAGGTTATATACATGTATCTCAAACGAAAAGTGAAAACGCTTGTAAAAAAAAACAATTTTTATTTTATTTAAATTTGGAAATCTAAATTCTCACTAAACTAAGTAAAATAGTTTATTTAATAAAAAGTTACTAATTTTTATCCCTTATTTATATCCTTAAATCTAATTTAATCCAATCCCATAACCCTAATAACCCAATGAGTGACATATAAGGATGACAAATAAGATTTTGATACAAAAAAAAATCCGCACCAAAATATTTGGTGAAAATGAAGAATGAAGAAGTCACATTTATGTGATAAATAACAGAGGATATAGATATACCCCAGTGTAATTTACGAAAATGGTATTATTTTTTTTTAAATATTCTAATCGCGTCGTTGGTCATTCTAAATCTAAATAAAAAATATGATTAATTTTGTTAAATTAAAAATCAAATATAAATTATTTATTATTATATATATATATATTATTACCTTTGACTTTTCTAGCAACGTTGCGCTGACTGTTCAACAATCACATTTATTGTAATTTTTCTACCTGACTATTGTTATTTTGTTGTGATTTCATGAGTTGGTTTAATTCACGATCAGATAAATTTTCTTTAAATTGATAATCGTCATCATTTTTTTGTTGGTCTGTTTTCCATGATTTTCTTAAAGCTTGTAATGATTTATTAAATTGCCGAGTAGAAGTAATTCTTTTTGGAATGGTAAAAAATTTATTACGAGAATTAGTATTATTAAATTCATCTTCTTCGGGTTCTATTATGTCAATAGCACTATTATTATTAAGTCTTAACGATTTTCTTCTACTTAAATTTCGTCTTAATGTTAGATAAAACGGTTTAACTGGTTTAACTGAATTCTTTTCTTGCGAATTAGTAATTTCGTTATTCGATGAAGGAATTGATCGACGTTTTCCAAAAAATCCACTTTGTCGTTTTTTATTATCAACTATTGACATAGATTTTTCACCATAACCAGAATCACGTATTAAATTACCAGAATCTTTATTTTGAAGGGTGTTGACAGATGTAACTGATGTAACGGCATTATCCCTTTCTTCTGATTCATTGGAGGAAAATTTAGCATTGTCGCTAATAATTTCGTCCAAATTTATTTCGCATTGACTATTTTCTTGAAGATTCATTGGATTTTTGCTTTTTGAATTACCTTTTGAACCATTCTTTTCTGTTACATTTTCTGATGAAATTTCAAAAGAGGTGAAGTTTTTACTCCCAACCTCTTGATGTGTTCCTTGAATAGGTTCCAATCCAATAGTATCGATTAAATTCATAATACGACCAATAACTGCATCATCCCAGACATCATAATCTCTATTATCTCTATCATCTTTATCATTATTATCGACAAAATTATCAATAGTATTATTATTACTAATCCTAGTAGTACCTGTAACAGAAGAAGTAGCCATAGTACGTTTAGATTTTTTCAGTCTAGTTAATAAGTTGTACGACGTTCTTTGATTAAAAAACAATGATTTCAGGTTTTCTTTTGTGGCAGTATAAATAATCGAGTCATCCTTTTGTTGCTTCAATTGATGTTGCACTTGTATCAAAGGAAGATTTTCTTCTTCTAATTTTTCTTGAATTTGTGAAAGAGGTAAATGCTCCTGTTCGTAATGGCTTGTTAGTGATCGATGAGCAGCCTTACGTATTAATACCGTTTCTTCTAATTGTTTCTGTCGTTGTTGTCTTACTAATTGTATTAAAGAAGCATTATTTGTTGTTATTTCATTTTTTTCGGAATGATTTTGAGCGGTAATGATATTATTAACTTCTTTTTTAGTAGAATTTTCCGTCGAATTAGTACTAGAAGATTTGAATATTAATGATACTGCGGATTTTAACATTGTTTTTTTATTATTATTATTTTTATAAAAAAGGGTTATGGTGAAATTAAAAAAGGAATGGTGGAGTTTTATCTTAAATAATGAAAAATGTATTTATTATTGTTGGAACTTGTTTTTTAAAAAAAAATAAAAATAAAAATAAAAGAAATAAAAGAACAAGCAAAAAGGGAGAAAGTTGGATAAGCTAGGCTAGGTGGGGTAAAGAAGAATGAAAATGGAAATTACCAGATATAAATAAGATCACATGAATTAACATTTATGGATGAGAATTGCTGATATGAACGTTTAAAAATTGGTTTCATTGAATCAAAAATTAGTTCGTGTTGCTTAATGAAAGTTGGACAAAATTTCCCCTGATAATCATTTAGAAAATCATTCTATAAAAGTAATTTAGCGATCTTAAAGGTTAGAACAAAGTCTTAGATAAGCATTGATGTTTTATTTATGGTCAAATTAAAGCTTGATTCATATATTAAATATATAAAAAATAAAATAAAAAATAAAAGAAAATCTATTTAAAAATATCCTATCTAAATGGATTTGAATTGTTAAACAGAAATTTTTATATAAGATATTCTATCGTAAAATTTTTTTTCTTTTTTCCTTGGTTATATTAACTTATAGATACGATTTATTCGAGCATCTTAATAAGTTCGTGAGAAGGATTTTATATATATAATGTTGAAAAACGGAATACATTACAAAATAATATTGAAATTTGGAGGGTTATGAAATTTATATATGAACGAAAGGCACAATGCTAACGAAAATAAGGTTTACTAGAATGTTTTAAACTACAGGTCTATTTATAAGAAATTTCAAATATATAGTTAATATAATAATTAATTAATTAATCTATATCCAGTTAATAACCGGTTAAAATAGAATAATTGTTTATTCATTAAATTTAGTATAAGTTTGCTAACTGGTTGAAAAAAGGTTAAAATTAACCAGTCAATTTGAAATATTCAATAAAGAATTCATCAAAACAAATTATTCTTAATATCAAAGTCATAATAAATCAAAAATCTATATATTTATCTATGATTATAAATATTTTTTTAATTTAAATTATTTCAAAAAATGTAATTTACCGTATTAGTTTCTTACATCACGTGATTAATATATATACTTTTGGTTTTGCTTAATCGTCAAAGGTAATTACTCTATTTGTTGTATACCAAATGCAATAGGTAAAAAATGGAGATATTATTTCATAATTGTTAATCAATTTTAAATATTGCAAAATATTCGCTTTGAATGGAACCTTTTCATTACAAATTTTAAATAAATCGAGCAAATAGAATTAAAAGAACTGGTTGTAATATGCTCCGGAATATTTCTATTAGGAGTTTCTTGTAATTTTAGATCTACCCAAATTCTTGACTCAATAATGTCATCAAAGCACTTCTGTGTTGCTTCAGAATTAGGACCATAAATTTTAAGTATCCAAGAATAGAGATTTGAATGGACCGTTAATGATCTAATTTCCTTAGTTTTTTTAATCGATTCGGCATTAAACTTGAATCCAACTTTATAATGATCTAATGCACTTTTTAATGCTTCTTTAGGATTATCAATTCTTTGAATTAAAAATTCCAACAAATCCGTTTCCTTTAAATTCCTTTCGGGTTTAATTGCCTGAATAAGGCAGGAACTTGCAATCTCGGATTTAGATACGTTAAGAATTACTTGAAATGAAGCCATTAGAAGATCGCCAATTTCATTTAACTTATTTTCAAGTCCAAATATATGAAAAACTTCTTCAATAATGCAAGAAGTTAGATGAAATCCGAGATTGATCAGTTGTGTTAAACGATCAACAATAGCATTTTCATCAGGATATTTCCAATCATTTGGTGTATTAGAAGGGAAAAGCATATAAAATACACGTGGCATGACATATTCATTGAAATCGCAACAGATTTCGTAATAGCCAATTTCCTTCCACAAATTTACCAAGTCAGGTTGAATTAATATTGCTCTAGCCACTACATTAAGTTGACGACTGTTCTCATAACCATCTTTTGATGGATATTCTTCATGAGCTCTGGCTTGTATCGATTGAATGTATTCTACTGTATCTTCATATTTAGGTTTTGGACGTGGTGGAAAGGGAACAAATTTCTTTTTCAAAATTAAATCTTCAATTTGATTAAGATTTTGACGAAGTTTGTCGGGTGCGTGATTAATATCAAGAGGACCAGCAGATAAAAGATGGAATAACTTCATGTCATTCCCTTTAGTTGCTAATTCATTATCATTTAAAATGTTATATCCCTCAGTAACTAGTTTGGTGAAAATCGGTAAATTAATATTACTTCCCCAAGGCGAAAATAATTTCTTTAAAAGAGCATTATCAAAATCGATTTGATTTGCATTATATTCGACTTCAAGTTTAATAAGTTTTTCATCATAAGTGCCAAAATGCATTAATAATCGTTGAATAAAATATCTAGAAAGTATCGCATTTTTCGAAAGTAAAGCATGTATCACTTTGATTGTTATGAAGCCATTGCCGAGCCTTATAGCGTGAAATAAAGCATGCGGTCTACCATATTTATAAATTAACCATTCGGCTCGGGCATGAGGATCTTGGGAAATATTGTGCCATTTACGATTTGTAACTAAAAGGTTGATGGGTGTTTGTATATATTTAAATATCTCGATGCTTAATTCATCATATATTGACTGCATTTCTAAAATCTTATATCAAGATGCACCGGTCTTTTTTTTTATATTGTTTTTAAATTTCTAGTAAAGAATTTGCCGAAATTTAAGGAAGTAAAGGAAATAAGGGCGCAGTAGATAATTAAAAATTTTAGATTTGTCTTGAAAGGTAATATCCATCCTTAAATACTTTTAAAGTAATACAATATATTGTTTGATATATGTGGCGTAAACTTTAACAAAAAATGAAGTCATTCAAAACCGATCTTCTAAAGTTCCTTCGACACTCTAATTGAACTTGAAGAGTGAACAAAAATACATTATATAAATTCATGGTTGTCTTAAAAAAGATAAAAAAATAAAATTTTCGGATAAGAAAATTGAATCGTTGAGGCTCATTAGTTGTTCATTTCCAAAAATGTTTAAAGTAACAAATAAAAATTACATTATCAAACAAATAACATCTTTACACTGAGTAGATACTGAGTAAAATCATAAAGATAGCATTTTAGATTTTGTTATAGAAGAAATTTTTAAAATGGTAAAGTTTAATCCATCAGTTATATCACGTGGTGATAGCAATATTTTTCAAAAACTAATTTACCGTTACACAATTGCATGTCGTTCGTTCTTTTTTTTACACTTGGGTAAAAAATGATCTGGTGATCTCTGCTCTAGCTTGCTCTATCGAAACTTAGATGAGAGCTGAAGTTTTAAGGTTTAATTAATTATATATGTATATTAAAATATATTTGTCCGAAGCATAGCGGAGGACATTTTACTGTATCTACTTGAAAATCCCGTCTATTTTCCGAAATACCATATTAATTATATGATCGTCAAAAAAAAATAATCGAATCAAGCAAGGCATAGCATTGTTGAAAATAAAAATAAAAATAAATATTTATTTTGAGCTTTCAAACGTATCAAAGCTGTGATTCTCATTTAT